GCCGGGAGCGCACCACCACCCTCCAGACTGGGCGACGGAGTGAGACTCCGACTCAAAAAAAAAAAAAAAAAAGATAATGTTGTGTGTTTTATTCTATTTTATTTATTTATTTACTTGAGTTGGAGTCTCACCCTGTCACCCAGCCTGGAATGCAGTGGCACGCTTCCGGCCACCGCAGCCTCGACCTGCTGGGCTCCGGTGATCCTCCTGCCTCAGCCTTCCAAGTCACTGGAACTACAGGCACGCGCCACCACGTTCGGTTAAATTTTTGATTTACAGTAGAGACGAGGTCTCGCCAAGTTGCCCAGGGTCTCGAACCCGCAGGCTCGGGCAATCCTTTCACCTCGGCCTCCTGATGGCTGGAATGACGGGCTGAGCCACCCTGCCCAGCCTGTGTGTGTTTTAAGTACAGCTGGGAAGGCGGTAGAGGTGAGGAATGATTGGAGAGCATCTACAACCCAGGAGAGAGGACGGCTGGTTGGGTAGGTGGGGAGGGGATGGGGGGACAGGGCCGAGAACTTGGCTTTGGAGAACCAGGCAGCAGTGGCCATGCAGGACAGTCCAAGGTGTCCCCTTGTCCTGCCGGGCCCTTCCCTTCACTCCAGCACCTCTGAGACCCGAGCTGGGCTCTCTCCCTCTCAGGAAGGGGGTGAGGGGGTCTTGTCCTCTGGCACCTGCCAGAGAGTCCTACTGGGAAGCTGTCCCCTGGGGGAGGAGCATGACAGCTCCCACCCCCAGGGGCTGCTGCCCACACTCAGCTTTTCCCAGTGACTGGTGCTGGGAACCAACGCTTTTCCCCTCACTGGAAATGTCATATCTAAAATTAAGGTGGGTGTTGGCGTGACTGCCAGGAAGAGGAGCTGGGGGAGGGACGCTGGAATGGCGAGCTCGCTCGGTGCCCAGGCCCCAGAGGGCCACTGGGAGGGTCTTGGTGGAGAGACACCTCAGCGCCCCAGTTCCCCCCGCAAGAAGGTCCGAGGACTAGAGGCCCCTGGTCCGAGGATCCCGCCTGCCCCAGGTCCTCCTGGGAGGCCATCTTGGGCTGAGCCCGGAGGACACACCAGCCGACCTTCCTTCACGGTCCAGGGCCTGCTTCGCAGCAGGGGTCAACAGCGGTGAGGTGGACGATGAAGGGACCCCGGCGCAGTGACCCAGCACGTGTGAGCAACGCCAGCCCAGCGTGGATGCAACTCGCAGCCAGAATTCCCAAGGACATCTGGGACGTGTGATCTGAAACTGCCACCCAGAGAGGCGGGTACACACACCCTTTCCTTGCCCTAGGGGCTACAAGTCCTACAAGAGAGAGTGGGAACCAGGCAGACCTGGGTTTGAGCTCCTACTCTGCTGCGTGCCGCACACAAGTCCTTGCCTCTCTCTATGCCTCATCTGTAAAGTGGGCGGTTATCGGTACCACCCGCTACCAGGCTATTCTGGGGCAATTGGGGGAGAACAGAAGGGAAAGGGCTTGGGTCGCCACCCGGGAGAGAGCTCAGCTAACAAGTCACCTCACTGACTGCGCCCAGCTCTGGGTCCCTCACTTGGTGGTGGTGTGACTCGGGCACGTCTGATGGCAGCTGAGCCTCAAAGCTCTACAAATGGGCATTGGTAAGATCACCCACCTACAGGAATGCCCGAGGACTGAAAAAATAAGTGTACGTCTTGTACTTAAAACAAGGTAGGAATTGTGAAAGAAACCCATGTAAGCCGGGCTCGGTGGCTCAGCCTGTAATCCCAGCACTTTGGGAGGCTGAGGTGAG